AAACAGCACCGCCATTAATGGGATTTGCTGACAAGAAAAATAACACTGAATTTTATCAAACCGTGTGTTTTTTTACAGATGTGTGAGCTTGTCAGGTCAAGGGAACAACAAAGCCACAAAACTACAGTTACATGTAATCTCCTCCTCATCATCCATATCATTTCAGCAACAGTTTTAGGTACAGTACGACAGTGAAGCTTACTCAATCATCGAACACAAGCACAGGACAGGCAGACCCGTACAAGCCATAAACCAGCAACAGAACAGAAACTACAGGAGAACAGCAGAATCAACAGTAATGGAATGTTTCTTACGTTACAGTTGTTTCACTGTTGCCTTTGTAACATTATCAATGACACGTTCATTTTGTTTTTAAATCAGACTCCTTTAAAAAGGAGAGAATGAAGTGGAATGAAGAATATTTACATTCTTCCCTTATCGAATCTGACCGTAAAAAATCCAAAACGGCTGTAAATGATCAACTTCACAAAGTCCCTGAACTCACAGTCTACTCTTCAGATCATATTTAGTTTTTAACTCTATCAGCCAAATAGATCCAGTTTAGAACAGGTTGTAAGTGACGCACAAGTTGGGTGACGCTCTTCTCATCATCATCATCATCCTCATTATAAACAGCTACGTTACAGTAGCAGCATTAGTGCTACCAATTCACACAACTACAATGGAGCTGTTAATAAACTGTTCATTAATTAAAGTTCATTGATTAAAAGTGCACTTTACAGAACAACTTCCTGTTCACAGCAAACCACAAGACAAACAATGCAGTAACAGATATTTTACAAGAAATAAAAAGTAAAACATTATTTTACTTACCTTACGGTCAATGTTAGTCAGCATTTTGTTGACACAGTCCGTTAGCAAAAAGTTACAGTACCATAAGAGCTGGATGTGTCTCATCTGTCAGCAAGACCGCCTCAATCTCCAAATATCGAAATGTGAAACCCAAATCTGTGCGTTTATTATAATTCTTCTTCCACATTATTTAACACATTCATATATTTCCGGGCCTCGTTACAGAAACATTTCCTAACTGCTCGTCCTATCTTAAGTTTCAAAGACTTTTCCTATCTTCCTATTACAGAAGCACGAGCCCGGTTCTGTCGCCGGCTAACGGCAGACACAGTTAGCAGCAGTTAATCAGCAGTTAGCTACCTTAGCTAAAGCTATCTGTCCATCAGGAACTGTGAATCTCAGAGAGTTGAAGCTGAGCAGTCGGAGGACGTCAGAGGGAAAACCAGGAAATATTCTCTCCATCAAATCTGATCCAGTTTCACCACAATCACTGAATCCAGTTAGAAAGGTGAGCTTTTGTACAGGAAGCAGTAAAATAAATAAAAGATATAAACTGAACCTTGATCATTAAAAAAAGTTAAGTCAAAATTATGAAATAAAAAGTAATTGTATGATATATTCAGCAAACATACAACTATCTGATACTTTTTATCTCATAAGTAACATTATTTTACATTTTTTAAGATTTATTTTTATTATCAAAGCTAAGTTTATTAATGTTTTATTTTACTGGCAGCAAGGGGCTTCCACAGTGAAAGTTATAAAGTAATACAAAAAAGATATAAACTGAGCCATGATAAAAAAAAGTCATGTTGTCTTTTATTTTATGAGATGAAAATAGCATAATTATAAAATAAGATGAATTCATAAAGACGAATGTTAAAATGAGATAAAATAATTAGCAAAAGTAGGACCAATCATTTCTACTTTTAAGCTCATCATTGTTACTTAATATATGTTATTAATATTCATACACATAATTTTGCATTTTAATTTTGCTGGCAGAAAAGGACTTCCACATTAATCACTGAGTAAAGTTGAAAAGTTGTGTTTTGTACAGAAATCCAGACGTACAGGACGAGATGTGATAAAAACACTGTGTTGGTTTCATGGAGACTTTAACATCCAGAACTTGTTCCTTTGTTCAGTGAACAGTTAACGTTGGTGCTACTAATATTTTATTCCACTAAAACCACTTCAGTGACTGACGTTACAGCTGTA